GCGGCGGTGACGACGAAGATATGCTCCAGTCACAGACCCCCGACTCACCAAAGGATTGGGATCTGGAACTGGTATGGAAGCGCACACGCCTTCGCTGCATGGTGTACTCGTCGCTTGGCGACATGGAAGAGGAAGACGAAGACTTTTACATGGAGCAGGAGCACCTCGACGGGGGCGACGAATCCCTCGGCGAGACCGTGTCGCCGGCCGTTGCTATTTTCCTCACGTCCATCCTCGAGTTCATGGGCGAGCAGGCTCTGACCTCGGCTGGTCAGGCCGCGTACCACCGCATGCGCTTCATCTTTGAGAAGGAACAAAAGACTGCCGGTGCCGCCAGCGGCCGTGCCCCTGTCGCCGAACGCATAACAGTCGAAGAGGTTGACATGGACCGCGTGGCCTTTGACCGCACGATTGGCCGGCTCTGGAGAGCTTGGAAGAAGCGGATACGGTCCCCCTTCACTGATGTCCATACCTTCCAGCAGCGATCCATTCAGCATGAGCTGGGTCGCCCGAGCACCCATGCTCGCCAACCCAGCCAAGATGGTTCTGTCGTTGCAGGTGCGATCTCCGAGGCGGGCGAACACGGCGACGATGCCTCTGTGCAGAATGATCGGAGCGAGAGCACAGAAGAGACTGCCGAGAAATCTGCCCAGGAGGAGGAGGAGGAGGAGCAGGACGACAGTGACAAGCCAGAGGGTGAGCCCGGCGTCGAGCGGGACGAACAGGAGTGGCTCAGCCTGGCTCTTTCTGTCCCTCTTCCTCTCAACGAGAGAGATGTTACTGAGATCCTACTTCCCGGCCTGGGCTACTACAGTGACGACGAAGAGCTTGACGACGCTGACGAGCACGATGCGTTTGGCCGGAGGCAGAAGAAGGCGATTGATGATCCGAGCCGGCCGAAGAGTCTGATGGTCTTTTCCCATGCCGTCATGGCTGGCCTCCCTACTCCAACACTGTCAGAACCTCGCACACCTGAAATGCCCTACTCTCGCAAGCGAGCCAACTCTCTCCCCACGCCTTCCACATCGCCATTTGCCTCGCCCTCTGCCAAACGTGTCAAGCCGTCAGAGGCTGATGAGGAAGTCCAGCCTGAAGGGGAAGGAGAGACCGAGGAGGAATATACTTCCGCTCCCGAAGCCGCTGACCATGAGGCCGAGTCTGATGATTCACTGGTTGAGACTGTCGATGGTGAGGAGACCAATACCGCGGTCGCGCCCAAGGCAGTTGTTGCCAAGCAAAAGAAGAGACCCTCCTTCCCTCCCCCTCTCCAGACGACAATCATTGGTGCAGCCATTACCACATCCACTGCGCGCGCTGTCCCCGTGTCGTCGATGGCCACCGAGAATGGCTCCGGCCGCGACGATGGCGAGGAGGAGTTTGACGAGTTCACTGAAGAGCCGGAGATTCTGACCTCGTCTCGCGTTTCCATTTCCGGCCGCAGCAACTCACCGTCGACTTCGGAGCATGGCCGCCCCGTGTCCATGAGCCCGAGCCTGCCCGCCCGCTCCCCGAGCGTGCACTCGCCCCGTGTTATCGATGTTGCTGGCCCTCGCAGCCCTGTTACGCGGTCGCGCAACGGATCGATTGACATTGTTAATGACACTGTCGCTCCGTCTCGCGCCAGCAACACGTCTCGGACCAGCAGCATTTCGGTGCGCGCTATTGCCGAGGAGGGCAACGTGCGCTCCGTTGAGCAGGCAACGTCGCACCCCAGAGTATCTTTGACGAGCGCAAAGATGGCCCGAACCCACACGAGCGAGTCCATCTCTGAGGCAGAGGAAATGGTGGCAACGAATGGCCAAAGCACTTCCCGTCCAAGTGAGCCCAAGCCCGTACCGACGAAGGCGTCGGTCCCCTCCCCTCAGTCTTCCGCTCGCCTCACCGCGTCCACATCTCCTTCCCAGCAATCGATGCGCCCGCCCCCGCCGCCGACAACGACTGCGCCTACCAAGGTCACCATACTCAGCTCCACTGCCTCGCCCGGGACTTTCTACGTGGACGACAAGCCGGAGGTGCCTGCTAAGACGCAGCCAGCCGAGCTTGCGCTTCCTGAACGTAGCGCAAAGCGTCAGGGCATGTCCAACATTTCGGCAATGGCCGGCGCGGCTGCGGCCGCTGTTGCTGCCGGTGCTGTTACGGGTGCTGCTGCCTCTTCCAGCCACGCTCGCAGCCCTCTGCGGGAACAGCCTCCTTCGCCATCCCGTGGCGTCAACCAGTCTTCGCCCAGCACCAGTCGTGAGCAACAGGCGCAGTCCCAAACCCAGGGTCAAGCGCAGGCTCAAGCACAGGCACCTACTCGTGCGGACGCCCAACTGCGTGCAGAGGCAGAGGCCGCTGGCCGGAAGCAGAGTGTCGCGTCGTCCATCTCATCATCGACGAGCAAGTTTAAGCAGCCGAAGAGATCATCGGAGGAGAGCACCGTCATGCGCCCCGAGGATGTTGCGCGCAACTTTGAGCAACTTATCCAGAGCGACCAGACGATCCAGTACACCCTGACACCCGAGAACATGCGTGACATGGATGTAGGTTTTAGATACCAGGAGCCATGCAGTAAAGCCAATTTCATGCTAATTGTTTCAATCTCCATAGTCTACTCGGTCAATCCACGACGGCAGCTCCATCGTGGTGAAGAGCCGGAAGAGCGAAGATGCTCGCCAGACAAGCGACCGCTCGCGCTCGTCATCACTCAACAACCGGGGCGAGGACAAGCGTTCAGCATCCATTTCTCGCGCCAGCACCTTTGATACGACTCGATCTATCGACACCACCGCAACAGTCAAGCTGTCTGGCCCCGTTCCGCGGTCCCCGCGTAGCATCGCACCTTCGGGCGGCTCGATGCCATTTAAGGCCCGTGGCCCTGGTCCGCAAGCCCGCGAGGCACGCGTTCCCCGAGAATCGCTTGCTGATTTCGCCGAGTTCATTCGTGGCACTGGCCCTGCTGGCGGATCGGTTGTCACTCCTCCGTCGCGCAGCAGCACTATGAATGGCTCCGTGTCCAATGCCACGCGAGCCCTCCACAGTACTGCAGGCATGTCCAAGACGAGCATCGAGTCCGGTAGGGCCTCCACGGTTAGCAACCGCCCACGGTATCAGGCACGCGAGGCAGTTGTCGACAAGGATGATAACTCCGACCTAATCGACTTTATCCGGCGCGGCCCGCCCAGTGCAATGGGAGGAAGCAACAACCCGCGCATCCCTAGAACGGTGGCGCCCTTCCGCACCACCATGGACTCCGACCAAATGTCCGGTGCTGTTGGTGGCCGCGCGATCGACGCGAACCTTCCCAACCTTCGTTACAGTGCGGCATCGACGAGTGTGACGGAGAGCTCGATGGGTTCGTCTGCTGGCCTGCTGAAGAAGGACAAGCAGCCGTCGCCGAGAATCGGCGCAAGCCAGAGCGCCAACAACATCTTTGATGGGCCTGACGCCATGCCCATGCCGAAGCGCAAGACGCGCCGTGTCAAGGACCCTTACGCAATCGACCTCAGCGACGAGGACGACGAATTCGACGCGGTGCTCCCGGCATCCGGTAGCGGCCGGCGGCCGGCCCCTGCCGCCAAGGAGGAAAGCCTTTTGGACTTTTTGAACAGCGTTCCGCCTCCGGCTGATGCAGAACCTGTTTTGTTTGACATTCCGCAGACGCGAAGCCGGCAGCCGCCGCCTGTCCCGAAAAAGAAGGCGAGCGCGCCGAGCTTGATGTCGCGGTTCGTACGCAACAACAGCGTCAGCGGCAATTCGAGCTCTCGTGGCCCGGGGAGCAGCAGCGGGTCCTACAGCGGATTTGGCGGCTTTGATTCTCGGTCGCTCATCAGCCGTGCTGGCTCCACCATGACCGGCCGCAGTCGCAACCATATCCCGATCCAGGTCAACATCCCCCCTGGCCTCGACAAGTACGGTACGACGTCGTCGGCGGCGGCGCCGCAGTCGGGCATGAACGGCGGCAGTCACCCGGCTGCTGCTTCGAGTGGCAGCGGCCGTGTGCCCATGAAGAAGTTTGAGCCTCGAGAAGCCCAACCGACTGCCTCGCGGGCCACCCAGGACCTGGCTGACTTTTTCCGCAACTCGGGGCCGCCGCAGTCGTTCCGGGGGTAAGGTCCCGATGACGAGAGAACGAGAGAACGGCTGAGACCCAAGGTGGATTTGGGTTGTTGATTGATGATATGATAATTCTACGATTAATTTGCTGTTTTTATGTCTTGCTTTGTTTCTGTACCTCTCTCAGTTGGCAGAGAGGGTGCTGCTTCTTGGTTCTTTGTTTTGTTCTCTGGATTTTTTGCAAGATACCAAACACGGAAAGAGTTGGACCGAAAAGAGATGTTTTCTTGATGTTTGTTTTTTCCATCTGTCGTTACTACGCTTTTCAGTTTCTTTTTCGCCTAACAGAGGCCTGCTTTCTTTTCGTTTTTACATTTTTGACGTTTTCTACGCTTCGTGTTTCCTACAATATACCTTTGTAGTATACGGCTTATTTGACGTATATATAATTTTTGGCCATTCCTATTTTCATTTGCGACCAGGAAGCTGGATGCCACCACGCTCTATTGCCACGTGCGCCTCTCATCCGTAAATGGCATCGTCGTATCGGACATGGGATCCTTGTTGCTTGCTGCAAGTCACTGACATGCCAATATTTCCATATTTGGCCTAACCCAGCTTGACCGACTCATACCGCTGCGCTGTGACTCGCTAGACTTTGCCATGTCGAGGGGATGCGGTGCAATACTACAATATTGATACCAAAAGAGAAAATCGTGTTGCAGGGGGCCATGTCCCTTTTCCTAACCGGCCGCGCGCAGGATGGAGTACGCCGTACGTCAATTTCCTTGCTCCCAATACGCTTATATAGATGGGTGTTTTGGCGCGGCCGTCGTTGGCTTTTTTCTGTCGTTTGTGCGACTGTGTACCTTCAACACAGCCCTTTCTTGGGAGTGGCATCGAGAACGACAGAACCTTGCTGGGCAACGCACATCATCCCGGTCCCTCAACACGATTTCTCTTTTTTATACCATGCGGTTCTCCTTTATTGTCGGCTTGAGCAGCCTCCTCGGCGCAGGTGCCGCCACAGCGGCGCGTTGCAGGCCGTCCCGCGTGTCCGTGTCGTCTTCTACGCCGTCCTCGTCAGCATCCTCGTCAGTGTCCTCGTCGGTGTCTTCGTCGGCGCCTTCTTCGGTGTCCTCGTTGTCCTCGTCATCATTGTCGTCATTGTCCTCGTCGGTTTCGTCGCTGACATCCTCCATTTCGTCCTCCATTTCGTCCTCGGCTTCCGCTTCGTCGTCCGCCGCCCCATCGCATCTGCCCTGCGGCACCAACCTTCTCCCCGACGGCGCCCACTTCAACCCGGGCACGTCCGCTGTCGTCGAGACCACTGGTGCGATGACGGCCGCATACCCGCCTACCTGCTACGGCCAGCTTCTTCCCAACACGTGTGTCCGGTTTGCCGCCGTAAACGGCGGAAGCGGCACCTTCGCCGTCAGCGTCACGGTGCCGACGGTCGCTGGTCGCTTTTACCTCTTTCAGATAACAGCGGAAGCCGACCACCTAACCCCCGAGCTGGTGAGGTGCTTGGCCAACAACTCCCTGTTTTGGGTCTTTGGGGTGGACATCTTGACCGTCGATGGTACCTGGAGTGTGCTGTCGGCGGAGTTCGCGGGCGGCTCGGGCGTCACCACCACGACCATCACGTGTTCGAGCACCCTCAGCCAGCCCAACTTTGATTTTTCGATGGGCGGATTTTCCATTACAGAACTGTGTTAATAATTTAAATAACGTGAAGAGCGTGAAGAAAAGGCTCGAGGTAGGACGTGAAAAGGGGAAAACATGGCGTGGCAACTATACGTTCCGGCTCTCTTTTGTTTATCAGCGTTACTGTTTGCGTCATTATTCTTATCCAACATTCTTAGCCACTCCCGGCGATTGGTGACTCGCTGTACGGAGATTCTCCCATAACGTTTCCTGTGTTCCGTTTATGAACAGCTCCATCTTCGATTGACGCGCCGTTCTCGACATTAACACACCCAGCCGCCATCAATGTTCTGGACAGTGCCGGTGATAAATGACGAGCCGTCCGACAGCAGCCACTCCACCAGGTTTGCGACCTCGCTGGGCTGGCCCTTGCGGCCCAGCGCAATGTGGCTGAGGTCCATCTCGCTACCGCGGATGCCAGCCGACTGGCGGAACATGGGGGTATCGATAGGGCCACTGGTCGGTGCATGTCAATGTCGGTACGAAGGCCATGTCATTGGAATTACAGACAAAGGGATGACAACGAGGGAGGGGGGCTCACGGGCAGAAACAGTTGCAACGAATCTGGCGCTTGCCGAGCTCCTTGGCGGCGACACGCGTCAGTCCGACGACGGCGTGCTTGGACGCCACATACGACGCGTTGCGGGGAAAGCCAATGATGCCGGCGACGCTGGCGGCGTTGACAATCGAGCCGCCGTCGTTGAAGTGCGGGATCTGGGCGCGCAGGCAGTTGAGTAGGCCCTTTTGGTTAACGCCCACCACAAAGTCCCAGTCGTCGTCATCAATGTCTTGCAGCGGCGTGATGTTGATGTGCTTACCAATGACGCCCGCCAGATTGGCCGCGCCATCCAGCTTGCCAAACGCCTCGACCGTCGCCTTGATCCAGTCCTCCACGTGCTGCCTGTTGCGCACGTCCACCACGCGGCCCAGGGCCAGGCCGCCAGCAGCTGTAATGTCCTTGACGGCCTGATCGAGGGCCGCCTCCTGCACGTCTGCCAGCGAGACCTTGGCGCCCTTGGACGCAAGCAGCTTGGCCGTCTCGAGGCCCATGCCGGACGCGGCGCCAGTGATAGCAATGACTTTGCCTTCCATGGTAGATTTCTTGCGTGTGTTGTAGGATGTGAGAAAGATGGACAGGAACGGAAACGAGAGCTAAGGTGGGGAGGAACGTGTTGAGAGACAGAGAAAGAGATGGGGAGAGGTAGATACTTCGTCCATTGTATTTGTATCTTTGCCTTCCCCAAGGGAAAACGTCAGACGTCAGTCCTCCAAATGAACACCCGCGAAATGACGCCAGCCACCACAGGGTCTCCCGGTCCATTTGGCTCTTCCTCTGTTTTTTCTTGCTTTGGTGTCTTTTGCCTTTGCCGTCGTTCTTCCCATCACTTCCATCGTGCGTCCCCCGCCATGTCCCCGCCATGGCCGGATGCGGAGTGAAGGGGAGGTGGAGGTTGAGGGCATGAGCGGTTCATACCAAAACTAGGATAGTTTAAAGCCGGCCGACGTTAGGTCCGGGGTGTCGGATGCTCGCAACACGTAAATCGGAGCAAAAGCGTGTTCCACAGGGCTAGCAAAACGGGGGATGTTGAACATCCGGGGGTGGTGCAGGCGAGTGGATCGGCCAAACTCTCCCTGCTGGAGATAGCGTAGATGCGTGTTGGTGGCCACGCTAACCCTTGCCAGAGACATGCACCGTACAGTGCGAGCAAACTGGCACCGCGGCATCCCAGCTCCTGTACGAGATCCAGGGCCCTCTGTACGACGGTTCGGACGTCACGGCGTGCCTCGAGAGCGTGGTGATGACGTAGGTCGGGCCAGTCCGCGTGCAAGCCACCGGTGTCAGGGGGCGGTCTCGTTGCCCAACGGCCGATAAGATCAAGTACATTGCTGACGAGGAGCACAAGGGCGGCGTGGTTGAGCGGTTTGAGAGTTTCGGAATCCGTGCAGGCATCGTATCGAAACATACATATGGCCAAAGGTTGTGCATTTTCAATTTTCAACTACCAGTTTGCCATTCGATGTCAGGTGACATGTCCAACGTAAACCAGATGTATACATACGTAGAACACACGAACCAGGAAGGGACGACACAGTGTAGAGCGCCTTCCGTATCCAGGTCTGCCAATCCATGGCCCAGTACTTCCATGCATCGTGGCTCCATGGTTCTTTCCTCATTCGCCGCGGCAGCACGTGTCAACTGCAACGACAACGAGAGCCGCTTTGATGCCAAAGACGGCCGACAAGAGTAGGTTCTTGGCTCTTCCTTTGCGCCTTCCCGATCCAACGATACTACACTTGAACCCCTTTTCCCCTTTTCCCTTGTCTTATCCCTTTCCGCCTTCCTGTGTAGTATCTCGTTCTAAACACCTACACCCAACCGTCTCCAGCTCAAGGGCCACTCAAACAACATAGACGCGTCGGCTAACGCAGTCACCGAGTCCCCCACGAAGCGTGTTCGCCAGCCGGAGGAGCCCACCGGCCGACCACAGCCGAGACAACTGACAACTGCATTGGTGGCCTAGGATCGACCGGCGATGCACTCTCTACACCAGACAGTCGGAACAGCGCCTGGGTATCTGTGCTCATGGTCATGTCCCGGCCTTTACCTTGCTGCAGTTGAAGGACCTGATCAGAACCACTGTGCGATCGCTCGACGCTGGCCAGACCATCACGGATTACGGAGCTCAGTGCTCGACGACATCAACCTCAACGGCCAGCTACAAGGAGACCTTTACTACCAGGTAAGCCAACACGGCTGCAATAGTGATTATATTGCGCTGAAGAGCTCATAGAGACAGCAACTGCAGCAACAACAATAGCGGACCGTGTTGTCTTTTCGGAAATAGCAGGGTATGCTGACGACGGTTTCGAGTGGAACCTGGCAGGTATGAATTCGATCTGATCTGAATGAGATACGGACGACGATCAATCATTAATACCCCTTTTGGTCTTGTTTTCGCTAGCACACAGGCCACGACAATATTTGACATGTGCAAAAAATGCAGCCCCCCTTCCATACGTCACGAAACGAACCAGGAAACGAACCAGTGAGACGCTCCAAGAAATTGGACGGCAAAAGTGGCATATCCGATTTTCCCGTTCTTCAGTCTTACTTCCCACTGTTGACGTGTGCGCTACAACGTGGACTTGATGCTTCGCATCGAGGAATCCATCTTGGTCGCCTCCATCTTCTGTTTTGCATTCTAGGAATCCCGCAAGCTCCGATTCTTCCCTACGGCGTCACCGTCACGGTCTCTGTCAGCGTACCGCCCGTCACCGTCTGTACATCCACGGTCGCTGTGGTGGTCGTGTCCGTAAACGTCGTGAACGTCCTGCCCGGCGCGATCGAAATGCGGCCGACCAGCTGGGTCGCTGTCTCGGTCGTCGTGACCGTGAGCCCTGTGGTCGTGTCGGTTGCAGACACGTGCACCGTCTCCGTCACGGTGGGTGTCACGGTGGTCGTGACCGTTGTGGTCGTTGTGGCGGCCAGAGACGGTGAGCATGTTGTCGAGCCGACCGTGGCACCGGCACAGAGACAGGCACACTTGTACGCGGCGGCATTGGGACACTCGGCGGCGTAAGCAGGGACGGTGGTCGGCCACACAGACGGCACAGTTGTCGTGGGAGCCACGCGCCGCGTCTTGTCGCCGCCAGAGAGGCGCGTGACGGTCACGAGCGTTGTCGTCTGGTACGCGAAATCCGTGGCGTCGACTGTCGTCGTCGCCGTCGCAACAGCCTCTATGTAGGGCGTCGTGATGATGGTTGTCGTCTCGGTCTCTGTCGTCCGGACCACGTCCGTTGCGGCAGCAGAAAGGTAGGAGGTGTCGGTCACCGTGCGCGACACCGTCGTGGGGCTTGCCGTCCAAGTGACAGTCTGAGTGCTGCCAATGTGTTGTTCTCAGCACCCTTTCATTTTCTTCTTCTCTTACAACTTTTGCACGGCAGGATCAGGAAATCGACGTACGCGGTTGGCTCAGGATAGGCCACCTCCAAATACGCCTCGCAGTCGGCGATGCCTGTGGCCTCCGCAACGATGCCTAAGGCTCGCAGAATAGAACGCCCCGGTCAGTCCGGAATCGAGAAAATCGAGGAGAGGGGCACCACCACAGTGTCATGGCGCAATTAAGGGCGAAGACGTACCTTGGTAACAGCCATCGTGCGAACACGATGCCGATACAATGCCAACGAGGCTTGCCAGAAGGACTGTGGATTTCCAAATCATCGTGAAGATATTTGGAGGCAGGGTGAAGATGTCGAAGCGACGAGCTCGTCCCTCTTGGATTCACTCGTATCCTGAGGTCAACGGAAATGAACACATTATGCACGTTTTCGTCTCGGCGGCCGGGATGCCAAGAACAACAGGACTTATATACGACGACACCCAGACGGATAGCAAACTAACAAACTGACTCTTGGCCTTCACTCGGGCTCGGAGCTGTCTCGAATTATGCTTCTTCCTTGTACTCGCTCGCTTATCCTCGCCAGTCAGCTGGCGTTACCATACGCTTCTTGCGGCCGTACTTTTGCGTACACCTTGTGTTTTCTATTTAAAAGTCCGCTTGGACTTGGTATTCAACAAATCATCTCAACACGTTTGGCCGGAATCCCTCGATTTCAGTCCGGAGTGAGATTTAAACAGCGATCGACGCTGCTGACGACCGAATTATACGAGACGGCGCCATGGTTACGGGGCGCCCTATCGGACTCGGACCAGAGAAAATGCGTCCGAATCTCCGTATCGGCCAAGCCACACAGCCTTGGCCTCCAACATGGCGTCTTCCAAGTGTGGTGTTATTCTGCGGTCCGTTGCCAAGCCCGAAAACAATGGGAGTTCACGCAGGCCAGAAGGCCAGCTGCCAGCAATTGGCCGTTAGTACTCGACGGGCTGGCGGAACGGCGCGCATTCCTTCTCCACCGTCCAAACTAAAAGCAAACGGCGCATCCACGTCATAAGTATGTGATAAACGTCTACTCAAAGTCGCAGTCTTCGGCTTGACGATTCACTGCAAGAAATACGACCTGTGTCGCAAAAGTCTGCGGGGCCAACCTCGCACATTCCCTATTGGCACAGGGTGACATCGCTGGCGACGCGAAAACAGTGGTGACGTCATTTGTGCTTCTCTGGAGCATAAGGAGCAAGCTACAAGGCCAGAACATCCTCAGGACAACAAGACGTGAATCATGTGCGCCAACGTCGAATGGACGTCAGGCGGCACAAAATCCTGCTTTTTTTCTGTCAACCGGAGGCGTCGCCATGTTACCATTGGTGACTCCTCGCGACTGGCAAACCGTTGTTTCCTTGAATTTGTACATTGTTTTCTATGACGCTTATCGTCGGTGCACACAATGACGCGATCACGATGTGCAACCACCTTGTGCCATTGGGAGGAACTATAAGTACATGTTCTCATCCACGTTCTCATCGTCGAGCCTGCCGACTGTCTTTTTCTTTCACTTCACGACCACAAGAAGAGAACCTACAGCCATCTGCACCGCTATTCGAAACACATCCTCGCGTCAAACTTTGCGTTTCCCTTTTAGAAAACGGTCGCAACAATAAGCCACGATGTTGCTTGTTGACCTCTTTAGCATGATTCTGCGCCTTGCAGAGGTACGTCACTGGCATTCGAGACGGCATGTAAGAACACGAGATAATCCAGCAGGACATACGTACTAACATGGCCACCCAGCTTGCTTTCGCCGCCATCGTCGCCGGCCTCACGGGCGTCTATCTTCACGCCGTCCGCGGCTCGTCGACGTGGGACCAGTCCCGGTTTATCTACACAGAGGTCGTTGCCGGCCTCGCGATCCTGCTGGCCATCGTCTGGCTGTTCCCCTTCTCCGGCAGCTTCATCCACTGGCCGACGGATCTGCTCATTTCAATTCTCTGGTTTGTCGCCTTCGGCCTGATTGTGAACTGGCTGCACGGCTCGTGCGGCAACATCTTCAACTGGACCGGCATCACCATCAACTCGGGCAACTCGTGCCCGGAGTGGAAGGCAAACATTGCCTTTAGCTTCTTGTCGGCCATCTGCTGGCTCGTCTCGGCACTGCTGGGCATTTACTGGGTGCACCGTCATCGCACCGTGCCCGCAACGGCGGCACCGCCGGCGACAGGGTACCGTCGTCGCCGCTGGTACCGGTCGCGGGTTTAAAGATACGCGGCTCATAGGAGGAGGAGGGTGTGGAGGGTGCTGGGTAGAGGGACAATGTAACATATTCGCCTTCTTCTCACAACGCTCTGATTTGCATGTCCTGGTTCCCTTGTTTTGTCCATTTCGGCTTTTCCTTTTTCTGTCCGGTTTCTTCCTTTGTTCAGCGTCTTAACGAACCATTATGAGAATGAATAATATGCACGCCTTATACTCTTATTTTCGTTTTCCGCCGTCCTGCTGTGTTTCCCCCATACTGCAGACTTTGTTATCCGCTCTGCTTATAAGTACCTCATAGCCTCTCGACTATACTCTTACATCGTCTTCGCTACTACGATTCCGACATCCGACCGCTTACCTAACTTGGTCCATGGCAAGAGGAGGTCCTCAGCTTCTGCTTTGTATGTTGTACGATGCAGTCGTTGACTAGGTCCAGTCACGTGCTCTCTAGGACTGTGTAATATGCAATGAAACTTTACGTGGTTCACCTGTCATCCTGTATCTCGTGCTCTTGCATTACCTTTTTTGTCATCTGTCACCATCCGTCGACTCACTTGTTACATGTGCGTCGTCCTCTTGACTACTCGACAAGAAAAGATGTCACTTTGTTGCATACACTAAAAAATACAGCGGAGTGAGTCTCGGCTTAGTAAGGTGGGGCTGCCTGTACAAACCGCGACCTGCACTGTAATACGACTTACATTCAGCCCTAACATGGAATAACATGCCGCTAAAACAGGCCAGGCACCCCCCCCGAGCCGACAACAGAGTGACACAGTCAGGACAGGGACAGCGGTGATATGTTGCGTATAGACACAACTAACATCTCAACACAACCATATGGCTACGTTTCGTTCATTACGAGCCACTTTATGGCTTTCATTTGTACAGCAGTGTCAAGAAGCGCGTAGGGGCGGCCCTTTCTGATTTTCATTCTTTTGTCTTTGCTGTTAAGGACCTATCTGTTTATGGCAGCGCCATTGTATGGGTTTAGTTTATAACATGGACGGCGTGTCAAGTCAGTCAGACAAAGCCTTGGAAAGGGATAGTATAAAACGCAAACACGGTGCAACTGGTCTCTTTGTCTCGTGGACGGACTTCTGACAGGTCAATGGGCCCAACCAATAGCCATCATCTAGGACTGTTCCTCTCCGGAAGGTCGAAATGGTCGAGAAAGTTACAAGACGTTACAAGACGTATTCTTGTCGAGCTCGAACAAATGTAAATTACGGCATCCAAGCGATCGACGACATGTCCACCGCATCGATGATTGGCGCGATTTCGTGCTTTGCCTTTGATGCACGTCTCCACATGACATCATCGATCGATTGTTCCGCGATTGTTCTGCGATGGTTTGCGCTGGTCTGCCACGGCCTGGGCGCTCACTGTGCGACAGCCAGGGATGCAATGTTGGCGGCGCTTGCTTGTTCGACTCTATGAAACTCATGGACGAGCTTCGAGAGCGACAACTACAGGTACAGAACTATGTGCCAAGGTCCGCTTGCACGTGAAGTTGCGTATTTGCCACTTGTCTCCCTTTCTTCAGTTGATAGCTTTGGTCGACAGCTTCGGTCGACAGCTAGCTTGGCTGTAAGTATTAACACGGATCCATTGGCACCGTCAACATCGAAAACCAAGCGAGCAAGCTCAGCATGGAGGAATGTTGCGGGTTGCCTCACTTCAATCGAAGAAGCTGACATCATTCGGCGTGCGTCTGGCAAATGTCGATTCAAAAGCTCCACAAGTTGACTTGTAGATGACGTGCATGCTTGCAGCTCGAAGCTTGAGCTCTGAAGCTTCGAAGCTCCACTCCACTGGGTCCAGATACGACGACAACGACGACGAAGACGACGACAGCCGACAGACGAAAGAAAAGTATCCCCAGGTATCTAGAAATTCAACATGCCCAGTACGACAGACAAGCCAGGAGCTACAAAGTACGTCAGTAAGAGACAATAATACTATTACCAAGACATGTACAATCACCCGTAGTCCTGGTTTGTCGTCTTTCCGTCTTTCCGTCTTGTCGTCTTGTCACTACTTCGTACAGCTACGAGCCCATATGTCCATTGACGCAGTGGGTATCCCTGTCGCGGTCGTGCTTCTCGCCTTCTGCCCAGCTTACCTGCTGAACTGCCTACTTTTCTTTCTTTTTGCATTCCTCCCCACTTTTCTCTCCCAATGTATCTCACTAAAAATAGAGAAACAATCTACCGGCCTCGTCGGTTCGACCTGTTTTCCAACGGAGTCGAGAGCGTACGTACTCCTTCTGTCTTCTGTCTCAGGCTCGTTTGGGGTTGGTTCTGGAGGTGAAAAGAGGGGGGGCGGAGGTGGCGCTTATTGCATCCAGCTCTCACCGGAGGGGCAACAACGCTTGTTCTGTTCCCGATCGATGACGACGGATGAGATCAGAACGCGTCGCTAAGGATACTAACGAATGCTCGCCAATCAAGAGGTTGGATGGCGCCATGTCCATGTCCTCGTCCTTTGACGTCCATCGACATCCATTGACATCCATTGACATCCTTTGCTATACGTTGACCGTCACAGACGGCCCTTTGTCGCTCTTTGTCACCCCGGGGGGCGTGTGCAACCGGCATCGCTCCGGTGTTCATCGAGCCATCAACCCATCGAGCGAGCCAGCGGCTTCCAACAGTCAGAGCTAGGATGGCGTGTGCGCAAGAAAACGATGTGCCATCGATCTGCATTCTCCGCTTGACATGACGACATGCGAGCAGCTCCCTCCCCTCGTCATGGCCCTTGGTTCTCGTCGTTCTTGTCTCTTGTCATTCTTGTCATCCCTTGTCGTCCATAAATATAGGACGTTCCCGCATTGTTTGAAGTGATTCTTTCCGTCTTCTTTATTTCACACCATACATCATAAAACACATACACATTTCATACACATTTTTTAAACACTACATTTCACCATGTCTTCCATCGTCAACAAGATCAAGGACGCTGTCCAGGACAAGACCCACAGCGGCAGCAGCAACGAGACCGGCAGCGGCAACAACTACGGCGGCAACAACACGGGCGACAACACCTACGACTCCTCCAACCCGCGCTCCCAGCAGGCTGGTACCGGCCGCACGACCCGCAGCTCCGGCGCTGCCGGCGGCTACGGCGATGATTCGTACGGCGCCGGTGCCGGTGCCGCTGGTGCCGGTGCTGGCGTTGCTGGTGTTGGCGCCGGCGCCGTCGGTGGCCGCACTGCAGGCGGCAACGACCTGAGCAGCTCTGGCGTCGGCGGCAGCGACCCCACCTACGGCTCTACCGGCGCTGGCGGCGCTGGCCGCACGGCCGGCGGCGTCTCCGGCGGTGATCCCACCTACGGCTCGACTGGTTCTGGCGGCGCTGGCCGCACGGCCGGTGGTGTCTCTGGCGGTGATCCCACCTACGGCTCGACTGGCACGGCCGGCCGCACGGCCGGCGGTGATGAGTTCGGCACCATTGGCGGCCAGAGCGGCGGCGCTGCGGGCGCCACCCGCAACCTCGAGGGCACCGGCCGCGGCGGCTACACCGGCGGCGACACGGGCCTCTACGAGGGCAGCAACACGAGCGGCCTCGGCAGCGGTGCGGGCCAGAACCTGCGGCAGCAGGGCGGCGCCGCCGCCCAGAACCTGCAGGGCGCCGGCCGTGGCGGCTACACCGGCGGCGATACCGGCTTCTCCGGCGGCAACTTCTCGTAAGTGTGGTGAGTTTCTTTTCTTCCCTTGGCCCAAGAGCCACGTTGCTGTTTTCAATGTGACGTAATACAATTGTATTATTTACCATATTATTTACCTTAACGCCCACTAACCCCATTGCAGTGCGGGTGCAACACGCGACCCTACAGATGCAGCCCAAGTGCCGCCATCTGTGCTCGCCAAGCGCCTCGGCGACCCGGTCGCGCACCACGGTGACGAGGGCCACGACCGCGTGCGCCGAAACAGCGCAGCAACGCACCAGGAGTCGTTCCGGGGAATTTAAACGTCTAGGGAAGGACGTGGCGTTAATTGATTTTTCATTTTTCACTCAGATATCACCATATATCAAATGAAATAAATTCAAAGTGAAGCTCATACGACGTCGATAATGACGATATCCAAGTACGATCATGACGCGTGAACATGGTGCCGTTGACATCGTAACCGTCGACGTGCCTTTGATTATGACGTCATTTTCAATTGATAGAGATGATGTCATAGGCCATAATGTGCCTCACGTGATATATCATGTCAATAGATGACTAATATATCGAAAAGTGAATCACGTGATAGTCTGCCAATGTCGACAATCCTTATCTTATCAGCCCCGCGGGCCGCCAAATGCACCTGCCTCCCTCACAGGCAGCATGGCACCATTAAGGTGCATCCATTGAACGATTCACGAGAGTTTACGACCGAACACTCATCGACCGGGGCCTCGACCGTGTTGCCATCATGTTTTCTGCCGCCCGTGGCGCTGCACACACCTGAGCCCACGACAACGAAACAGTACGAGCCATCCATCGACAGACAAACGTGAGACGGGGGACAAGGAGGCAGGACAGAAGGGAAAGGGGACAAGGGGACGGCATCGCACAATCGCAAAGGGATATGGCTGCGCAGTCCATACGCGGGCTTGGGCGCAGCGGCTCATCGGGCACGCGCCCCACAGACTCGTCGGCAGCGCCGTCGACGCTGCTCGCCCGTGCTCTGTGGCAGCGGCGGGTGCCATTGATCATCACCCACGCCGCGTTGGGCAGCCCTGACGATGACGTTGACGGGGCGGCCGCAGCGACAGGCGTGTTTAGCGGCGACGGCGGCGACGGGGGCGCCGGTGGTGCTCAGAAGCTGCCACCGTTCTATGCCACGTCCGTGCCCCGGTTCGGATACCTGGCCCAGCTGCTGCCGCGACTGTCGGCCTTCTTCGGCCGGCCTTGTTCTAGCTTCCACTACGAGGACGTGCCGCTGCGCAACCTGCCCGTCGGCTTGCTGCTGGACCTGTATCGACCGGTCGCGCTGCCGCCTGGAGCCGGTGGTGGCGGTACCGGTGGTGCCGCTGCACAGGACGGGCGGCCTGACGCGGGACACATGACACCCTGGCGCCTCGTCGTGGCCGATGGCGAGGCCTGGCACCTGGGCGACACGTTTCTGAACGGCGCCAAGGAGGCCGACTACGTGCGCTACGGCAGCGCGAAGCAGATCATGAGCCTGTCCAAGGCCAACACCGAAGCCCTGTGGCACGCCGTGCAGGACAACGACTATGCCGCCTTTGCCCGCGTCAACAACCTGCTGCTCAACGCACCGACGCCGCTGCGCCACATCCCGCTGCGCCTCTACATCCCGACCACGGCACCGCCCGCCCAGACGACCGACAATGCCGCCGCCGCCACCTCGGCCTCGCCAGCCACCACCCCGGGCACCTACAAAGTCATGCAGGCGCTCGTGCAGCCACGGACCAGCAATCGTGAGTTTTGTTTCCACCACCACCACCTCACCAACGCTCTGCATAAAAAGCATCGGCCACGCCCGTCTCTAACCTGTCTGCACACACCTAGGTCAGCAACAGACTCTCGGCCCGGCGCTGCGCAGTCTTCTGCCGCTGCTGTTTCCGAGCAGCCGCGATCCCGTGCTGGCCAACGTCATTCTGCACGGCGCCCCGGTGCCATTCCACGCGCCACTGGAGGACCTCATGCGTGAGGCCGCATACCCAGATGGATGGCTGTGCCTTATTGTTGTCCTTTTGTAGCTGGACTCTCCGTCCTCGAGCCTTCTCATTGAGCTTTCATACCCAAATTCACAGCGTTTCCGTTTTGGTTATTTGTAGTCCAGAGCACGTCGTTTAATGCAAAGAGGGATCAAAAGTGCAGCAGACGTGGTAAGTAATGCTTTGAAGCGAGCGAGGCCGCTGTGCCTCGCTGATGTGATGACATTTGGACTAAGAACTTAGATAAGCCATTTCCAGTCAACTGTGGTATTTCTTCCGTGAGGTGTACAAAACATGTGATGCAACGGGGAGTATAAAACGAGACAGACAAATGCAGCCAAAGGGCAAAAAAAGAGAATCGACTAGAAATATTAGAAATGACCCAACAGAGCAGAGGCAGAAAAAAAAAGAAGCGGTCCACGCTCGCTCAGTCCGCCGAGGACAAGTTTTGTTGTGCTGCTTGCTAAATGCAAATGGTACTTGGCACGGCTGTTCAGGCCGGCGGAGAATCAATAAAACCAAATAAGCCAAATAAACCAAATAAACCAAATAAAACCAGAAAAAAAAATATTAAAGTAAACCAAAAAGAAGAAGGTGATGATACTGAAACAGAAAAAGTCATAAGACAAGTGAAATCCAGGCAAGAATGATATAGTCAAAATTGACGAGGTAGGAAGAAAATGCATAGAACAACAGAAACGACACAAATTACTCCCCACAAAACTATTAAAACAAATGCACAAACATCGGCTCGCCCCTGTGCTCTCACTCATACGGCCGTCGCTCGTACGGCGGCAGGTGGTGCGGGAAGCCCGGTTCGTTTGGCGTTGTCGGTGCCTTGACGGCCGGCGGCGGGCCAAATTGCATTCCGGGCAGGCGAGCTTGCGTGGGGCTGGGTATGTTGCTGCTGCTGGCACCACCACCACCACCACCACCACGACCAACACCGCCGCTGAAACCATCAGCCAAGGCTGCGGCCGGCGGCGACACGTAGGTCTGCGTGTGCCGCTGGAGCGACCCTGGCGGCGATGTGTACTGCGCGGGCGACCCGCCCATGGGGGATATCTGCATGGGCGAGCCGTCGGGGTACTTGCTGGGGTACTGCGGCGGACCCGTCGTCGGTACTGCCGCTGCCGCTGCCGTTGGTGCAGCTGTGGTAGCAGCGGCTGGAATCGGCGGGGGTGGCGGGCCGAGCGGCGACACGCGGGGCGGCGGATAGCTCGACGAGGGTTGGGATGACACTGTCGGCATCGTTGCCTCTGTCGCCGGGGGCACCTCTGCAACAGACGGGTAGAGCTCCTGCATCTGGTTCATGTTGTCGCCGAGCATCGTCAAGTGCGGATCGCTGGACATGTAGGCCTTGGCGTCTTGCAAGGGCAAGCCGTAGGCCACAGGCAGGCTCGGGGCCTGCTCAATGTAGACGGGGTTGGCCATGCGCATAGCGTACAGGCCCTTGAGGATGCGCAGGTCGTAGCCCAGCGAGCTCGACGGCTGTGCGACGACCTCGAAGAAGGCAATCGTCTTGCGGAACAGGTCGTTGACGAGGTCTTCCGTGATGTACTGGCCGAGCACGGGGTCGCGCTGGATCGAGTCGAGGATGAGCAGGTTGCCCCACTGCGCGTGCGCCGTGCCAAACACATTCGTGATAATAAAGCGACGGTCCGGCAGGCCGTGGAACGCCCGTGTGCTCTCGACAAGCGCCTGGATGCCGCGCCGCGCCAGCGCCATGCTCTTGGGCGAGAAGGGGCTGTCGACGCCCCCAGGGTGGGTGGTCGACGTCTGCGCGGGCGTGTCGCCCCCAGCCGTCGCCTCGTTCGCGTCCCGATGAGCCGATGGCGATGTCTCGTCGGCAGCATACGACGCAGGCCCGGCGGCCGTCTTCGTGTCATTGTCATCGTCGCCATAAAGCAGCTCGTCCTTCTCGACGTCGCCGTTCACGTTCAAGCGCCGGTGCTTGCCCGCCTTCTCCTCGCGCTTGATCCGCTTCGCGTAGTTGATCTCGAGGATGCGGCGTATGTAAAACCGGTGCACGATCACCTGCGCGCCCCAGTACTTGGCCCGCAGGCGCGCGTGCAGAATCTCATTCGGCGGCGGGTCGGTGTCGTCGAACGCGTAGCACTTGGGCACCCACGTGTGCGTCGCCAGCAGGCCCGAGTACATCTCGATGGACTTGAAGTTGGGCTCGCCGTTGAAGTCGCCGTGGTACAGAGTCTTGTGGATGTCATTGAGCTGGTTGCGTAGGTAGAGCTGGGCGGTGTAGCTTTCCAAGACGCGCTGCTCGACGCCGTGCTTGGCGAGGAAGGAGATGCGCGGATAGGGGAAGTGCTTCTCGTACTGGAGAATACCTGACGGCGGCAGGTGCAGCTCGGCCAGAATATCGCTCTCCAGCTGTAGACACGACCAGAACGCGAGGAGAAATGGATTGTCGCGGTGCTGCACATTCTTCTCGTCAGGGGGCTGGAGGGGTTTGCCAAACTCATCCATCTTGCCGGCGTATTCCTCGAGTTTTGTGAGAATCGACTTGAAGCGATGCATGCTCGGCCGCACAATGCCCAGCAAAAGGCGACCGGCCGTGGCCACCGCCTCGAGGCTCTCAATGGGCCGGCCCAGCTGGCCATAGTACAAGCAGGCCACGATGTACACCCATACGTGCTTGAGCTCGCGGCCGGCGCCATGGCAGCCGATGATTTCCATGGCCGCCGCGAAGTAGTCCAACCCTGGGATTTCGTCCACGTTGCGCCGCATCGACGCGGCGCTCGGCAGGCCGCCGCTGTTGCCGCTGTTGCCGCCCTTGGCCGATCCGGTGCCGCTCGAGCTGGGGGGCAAAAAGTTGCCGCTCCCTGCTGACGCACCGCCGCCAGAGACGGGGGCCCACGGCACCGTCCCACTGCTGCCAAACGACTGACTGCCGCCACCACCCTGCACAGACGTGCGACGGCTCGGCGTGTGACCCGGACCCACGGCAGGCGACGCGGATGGCGAGTCATGCACAGACGGCGCGGGTGAGTAGCCGTTGTTGGGTTGGGCATTGTACGTGTGGATATGCGCTTCGGCAAACACAGGCGACGCCTGCGACGACTGCGCGCCGGTAGGCAGCGGCGACTCGGGATCAAGGTTCTCCGGCACGACATCGGGAAGATGGCCCTGTTTGTGCAGGCAGATCTTGCCGAGGGCCAAAATGGCAAGCACCAGGGCACTTTCCGCGTTGCGGAACGGCACACCCGGACGCAGCGGCAGTCTGGGCGCGACGGGGGCGCCGCCTGTGCCCGTGCCTGTGCCGGTGCCTATGCCGCTACCACTCGGTCCAGAGTAGCCCTCGGGGAACGGCGACCGCTTCCGTTTGAGACTGCCCTCGGCGGTGGGCGATTGTGCCTGGGGTTCGTCGGGGGTGCCCGCAAACGCGGCGACGGGCGCGCGCGGCACGGCGCCCCACGCGGACCTGCCTGCCTGGGACGACGAGGACGATGAACGGGGAAGCGTTTCGAGGAAGAGAGTGACCATGGCATACAGCGGCTTGGGGTTGATGATGGGATGCATGTTCTGAATGTTCGCCTCGTAGCTCTTGACATATGCCCACACCGTCTTGGGGTCGAGGTCGAGCTCAATGTTGCTGGAGGCACCGTACGGCCCGACCTGGCCCCAGCCGCCAAGCTGGCCCCACATCTCGCCGGGGAAGCGCACGGATTCCTTGCCGTCCTCGTAACTGCCGCCGCTGCTGTTGTTGCTGACGGTGCTGGGGCCGCGTTCCATCGCAACGCTTGTCTCTGGGAGGGAGCTGCCGGCTTCGTTCTCGCTAACACGGATGGTCATCTTCTGGTCAAACCCTTCGCCGCGGCCCATGAAGCGGATGGTGCCGCGCTGCTCTTCTTGGCGGATGGGGTATTCTGGCAAGTGTTGGATGCCCTGCTCGACCAGGAGGTGGTGGACGCGCTCGCGAATGGAGGGCCACGTGAGCAGCAGGCCAGCGAGCGTGGTGTGGTTGGAGGGGATGGCCGACTCGTTTGGTTTGACGACGGGACCCGTGAAATCGCTCACGGCGTTCAGCTCGCCTTGTGTCTCGCGCGTGATGCGCTCGGCCTCGTTGGATGACAGGGGCGCCGGCGCCGCCGGCGCCGCGGCCATGGCATTGGCATTGGCCGGGTCAATGGGCAGGATGCTGGCGCCAGCAGCAGCGGCCTGCATGGCATCAGCCGAGGAAGCAATGCCTGCACCGCGCAGGTTGACGCCGACACCAGCCGCTTCCAGAGCAGACGCGGTAGCAGCCGCTGCAGCAGCCGCCGCCGCGGTCGCTTGAGCATTGTCAGCAGCTGACTTGGCCAACTGCTGGACAGCGGCCATGATATCTTGGATGTCGTTGCGCATGACGCCGATGCTGTCGATGAGGTCCGCCGTGGCCTTGTCCTGCTGTTTGGGGATGGGATCGCGGTACTTGCACTCGATGTTTTTCTCACGGCAATTTTTGCAGGGCTTGGTCTCGTCACACTTGGCTTTGAGCGAGCGGCAACTGTCACACGCCTGCGATGCGCGCTGGGCCTTCTTTTTGCCGGCGGCGGCATAGGCCAGCGGGTACAGGATGTCGGCGGAAGGCGGAGGGCCGGACGCGTGGCTAAACATGGGGGTCTGTTGCTGTGCTGGTGGTGGTGGCTGTTGCTCATAATGCGGCTGCAGTTGGGGCGGCTGCTGCTGCTGTGCTGCTGGTGGTGCTGATGGTGGTGCTGGTGGTGCTGGATGGGACATTTGCTGTTGCTGTTGTGGCGATTGCCGGGGATGCTGTAAAGGGTGCGGTTGCGGTGGCGGCGGTTGTTGTGTCGGTGATGGCTGTTGCGGCTGCAGCGGTGGTGGGCCGTGCGGGTGGTGTTGCAACGGCATCAGCGGCTGTTGCTGTATCGGTGGAGGAGGTGGTTGCGCATGGCTCATGGATGCCGGTGTCGTCGCCGGCGGGTAGCTGGACGGTCGGTACTGAGGGCTGTGGTCTTGCTGCGAGCCCTGTGGTGGTCCAGACGGCGATTGCTGCTGTGACGGCGCGGCTGATTGCATGTGGCCAGGCGGGTGGTGAGCAGGCAGCGGAGGAGGCGCTGGTTGTTGTGAATACGGCTGATAATGTGCATGCTGTGGTGGCGGGTGTTGCTGGTGCTGTGGAGGGAGGTGGTGCACCTGCGGTTGTGTTGGTGGCGGCGGTTGTTGTTGTTGTTGTTGCTGGGCCGGGTAGGGAGGAGGATACGACTGCGGAGGCTGCCCGGGGCCACCCATATTGGGGTGGGAGAGGTTATCGAAGCTCATTGAGCGAGCGCCGTCGTCCGACTGTCGCATGGGGGGCATTGGAGGTTGCTGTTGTTGCTGTTGCTGTTGCAGTCTGCCTGTGCCGGTAGTAGACGCGGCCGAACCGGGTCGGTTGCGAGCCGGGTCGTCGTCTACCAACTGCGGGTGCTGCAGGTGCTGTGGCTTGTCGGCGCGGTCGTAGGACGGCGCGTTGTGCGGAGGCGGCGGTAGACCGGGAGCAGCGCTCGCGGGCGAGCGGGAAGGAAACCGGTAGTCGGGCGGCTGCTGTAGGTACTGCTGCTGATGCTGCTGCTGCTGTTGCTGCTGAGGATAAAAGTCTTGCGGGCGATGATCCTGTCCAAGCGCGTACGTGTCCTGCTCATTGTGCCGGCGGTCGTCCAGGTGGGGCGAGTAGGTGCGCGGCTGGGAGAGCGAGTGTGAATGCGACGGCTTGTGTTGCAGCAGCCGGCCGTTGGTGTTTGTGCCGTTGTGTTGGTTGTGTGGCGCCGGGAGCGGCGGCGGCAAGGTCGTCGAGTTCGTGAAGGAGTGCGCTGACACGGGTGTCGCGGGTGCCGGCGACGATGCGATGGAAGGGCGCTGGTCGAGGGCAGCGGAGGCGGAGGCGGAGGCAGGAGCAGAGGCAGAAGCAGACGCAGAGGTAGAGGCAGAGGCGACGGAACCGTTGGTGTGAAAGGGACCAGGACCTGGACCAGGACCAGCGGGAGCGCTCGAGGCGGAGGGATAGGCGGACTGATATGGGCTGGCAGAGGAGTGGACGGGATGGAGCTGCGAAGGAGGTTGTGGCGGCGGCTGCGGATGCTGCAAGGTATAGCGCGGCGAGTGGCGAGGGGAGGGCAAGCGCGGTGAGAGCGTGCGTGGCGAGGGGAGCCGCGGAGGATGTGGTTGGTGGTATGGGTGATGAGGAGGAGGAGCAGCAGCCGCCGCGTAGGCGTTGGGATGGGAGCTGTGCGCCGCGGCGCCGGGTGGGTAGGGATGCTGGTGATGCTGGTAGAGGTGGGAGGAGGGAGAGGAGGAGGACGGCGGAAGGGCGTTCAAGGAGGACGGTCCGGAGGAAGAAGCCCAGGAGGAACCTGCGGTCGAGAGACGTACCTTCTTGGTCTCGGGGCCGTGGTCCATAGCTCAGATATGCAGGCCGGTGGAGGAAGACGAGAAGAGGGAAGGGGAAGGGGAAGAGGAAGAGAGAGAGGGAGAGGGAGAGCAGGGAGGCAGCGGCCGAGGAGGACGGGGCAGGCGGGCAAGGGGAGGAGGACACGGCTGCGACGGCGAAGGCCGAGAAGGAGGAGCGCAACACAGAGCGTGAAGCAGAGGCAGAGGCAGAGGCAGAGGCAGAGAGAGGAGCACAAGGCGACCTCCACGGCCACAAGCAGCAACAAAGGGGACAGAGACAGAACAGGCGCGCCCATTAGGCACGAGGGGGGGTGGACGGACGGCGGAGAGACGGTCGAGAAAGGTCGGTGGCACGTTGAAGCGTGTCTCTCAGTTTAGCTTCCTTTTGGCTATTTTCTTCTTTTGTTTTGCGTCCGTTGCTTTCCGTTGCTTGCAGTTGCTTGCAGTACCGTTCCTGCTGGCGAGATCCTGGGGCTGCCACAGACAGGAACAACGGTCTGGGCAGGGGGGTAGAGGTGTGACGGAGAGGGGGGTGTGGACAAGGAGAGCAGAAAAGAGCCAGGCCACGATGGGTGAGAAGAGGAGACCAGACGGCGTGCGACCAAGTTGGACGAGGAAAAGCAGACGGTGTGGTGAGAGGGTGGAATCGCAACGGGCCAGGGCCAAAAAATAAATAATATACACAGTTTAATAAATAAAATAAACTAGAGAAAAACCAAACGAATCGAAAAGGTTCTGCTAGGGCCGGCTGGGGACAGCCGACAAGGCGTGCGTGCGAGCAGAACGTGGTATGAACGATGTAAGCTTAGCAGGTGCAGGACTCAGTATGGGGCGCTCTGTAGGAGCCGAGACGAAGGGCCAGACGCCAGGCCAGGGTGGTACCGGGGTGTGAGAGCGACGGCAGGGCGGTAATACAGCTCAGAATACAGCTCAGAAGCTCGGATGGACACAGACGACACCGCGGTGGACGAGAGATGGCAGCGCGGAATTGGACAAGCAAAAGTCGTGGGAAACTGAGGAAAGGAAATCGTCGAGGAGGAGACGGAGGGGGGGGACGAGGCGAGCGACCGGCGGAGATGAGAGGGAGGTGGGCTGGGGCAGCGAGCCAGGCACAGAAAACGGAAGAGATGCGACAGTCGGTGCGCGTGGTCGAGAGAAGTGCGCGCGAGTGCGAGAGTGCGAAACTGAGGCTCGGCGAAAGGAGAGAGAGAACGGGGAGACAAGAAAAAAGGTTGGGACGTGGATAACGGTGGACAGGACAGGGAAACAGGGGGCAGGGGGCAGGGGGGCAGGGTGGAGAAGAGAGAAGGTGCGGAGCAAGGTGTGCGCTGGTGCCCAAGTGCAAGGAAGGAGCAAAGGGCGACGGGAGAGGGCAAGAACGGGCGCAAACGGGCAGGCAAGAACGACGAACAGAAAGGAAAGAGTTGGGCAGGAGCGACCGCCGTAATTACTGGCAGACGGTCATTGGAATACGGCTGTTGGTCATACGAAATACTACGTCGTGCTACACCGTATCTTACCACGCCATCCGATTCATAGAGATCGACCAGACGGAGCACGTTCGAGATACAGTAGTCACAGGTCATAGTGCACTTCCAACCGGCGCCGTCGTCAGGGGTTGACGGGTCGTTTGAGCAAACGTTGCGACACCAGTCAAGAGCACCAAAAAGAGCACCAAGGACGGAACGGAGCGGTGTCGCCCTTTCCTTAACGAGAGAATTAGCGACGCGGCCAGCCACCATCAAAAGCGATGGAGGCGCTAGTCCAGTAGCTCTTTCCTGTTGCGCGCGGTGCCCGGTACTATGTTACGGGACGGAAGGCGCACCAGCGCGCAGTGTGATTAGGAAACTGAGAGTGGGGCAGCTTCAGAACTGAGCAAAGAAGGTAAAATACATGTATCTTACTGCGGACGATCTACGACGGTGCAAAGTAATACTTTGTACTCTGCAAAATCGAGGGAGGTCCATTGGCTCGTGAGGCTGCAGCAAGGATGCCAGAGTTGCACTGGAGGGGACTGTTGCACTTTTGGGCTATGATTGTCGGGTTGTGGGAGGAAGAGAATAAGATTTCTCAACTTTCTTTTCTTTTTTTACAAAGTATGTTGTATTTCAGTCTGACACCGTTCTGCCTCTCTTTGTTTCATTGCTTCATAAAAAGCCCCAGACCAAGAACCGCCACAACCAGGGTTCAGGGCTGCTGTGGGGTGATGGTTAGCCCAGTACGAAATACATTACAGACCGTCTCACAATACCTGACATAGCGACGCCTTGGTCCAAAACGAGGCGGCCGCGTGAGACTGGCAAAGAGGGCCGAAAGAGGGGAAGCTCAGGGAGCTCAGGGAGCTCAAGGAGCTCAAGGAGCTGTCTAGAATTGGTGTGTGGGCGGCGGCTGCTGCAGGCCAGCAAACCTTGTGTGCGAACGCGACCGTGGGAATACAAACAGACTCCATTTGGTTCCAGGCCAGCTTCTCAGGACACACATTCAGCGTACAAGGAAAGTGCCTTGCCTTTTATTGCCTCCTTGGCCCGACCGCCACGCGGACAACCATGCCCATCACGGTAGAGCCAAGCACCCGTTATGTGCTTCCGTCGTACAGGCACACAAAGGGTGACGGGGCATCTCATTGTCGTGACAAATGACATGTGCATTTAGGGGCAGGTGACACGGCAGGCGGCAGGCAGGAGGTAATAAGACACGGCCAAAGTGCGTTCCGTTGGACGAGATGACCCAAAATGTAAGCTGCAAAGGGAAGACGCGAGCTGTAACAGTAATGCTGGCTTCCCGGACTCGCAAGCATGGGAGCTAGCAAGACCCGCCAGACCGCTGGAACCGACAGCGTGGGTATTTGGTGCTAGGTACATTCGTAAAGTGTGGGTGGATTCTGCTTGTCGGCACGACGCGGCCACGAACATACAGAGAAGTCAAAAAGCTCAAACGACATCCTACCAAAGAGAAGAAGCGGAAAGGAACAAAAAAAGAAATTGTGACAGTGACAAACGAGCGATCAGAGAACACATCCGGGCCAATCTTTAAAGACAATACGACATACGAACATGCAGTATCCCGACTATTTAAGGAAATACATCCGAAGGGATGGAGGTGACAAAGGTCTAGATGTGCAAATGGAGACGTCGACCGTTATCCGCGGCAGTGCCGATCCGTCAATGCCAGCAACAAAAAGAAAACGTGATGAGCGGGAAGCGAAACATGGAGAGGTTTATCTGTCGTAGTGAACTCTTCACGTCTTACAGGTACTACGTGGTGCATCCTTACTCAATACGGAGTGCGTCAGGCCCCATCTGGCTCTGTATCGCCAAAACTCATCAGTAACAGCCTTAAGGAGAAGTGGTGATACGGCTCTTTAAAACGAGGTAAGAATTTAAATCGTTGAGGAATTCGTCTTGGGCTTGCTTTGCTATTCCAATCGTTTAAGAAAATAAAAGGGACCAGTCTATACTTCGGACCTGATTTTGCGCCAGTCTCGGACTGGCACTGTGGCCTGAAACGGTTCTGTTTACATATCCCAACGGCGTAGTGGGAACGTTCTGGCTTGGCTTTTCTTCTTTTGTCAAATAGGTCGTACTATAATTCGTACCCTGCCCGCCTTCATTGGACAGCGTTCACCAATGCAAGACAGAGAAAGACAAGACAGCGAGACAAGGAATGTGACTGTGATCAGTGTCACCAGTCCTGAAAAACAAATGAGAAATATGAGGCAATCCTTTGCATCCTTTGGGCATCAGACGAGACCAAAAGGGTTGAGGGGAAGCATAATGTCCATTCTCGCTGAGAAGTACGGGGAAGAGAGCCCACTTTGTCCGTAACACCCGAATAAAAGGCCAAAAAAGGAGACGTGAAGAGGAAGAGCCTCACAGAGCTACAAGCACATGTTGGGCGCGGGAAGCACAGCATGCAGGAGCAGATATCCCGCTGTGTAACCGCATGGTTTTCGTTTTTTATCCGTTCAGTCGTTTGTCATCGGAAATGCAAGCACAATTGGCCTTCAGATGCAGGACATCCCAAGTGTCTGTGCCATGTGTAAACAAAGTGCCTGCATTTGTTTGCAAGCGACCAAGAAAAAAAAACTGGAAGAAAACAAAAAGAGATCATGTGGGAAACAACAGAAACAGGTCATCCTGTGAGAAATTAGCGTACCGTCACATCGCCTGTTGGCTCGGGCCCTGTTATGAAAAGAAGGGAAAAAAGAAACGGCAAAAGGGAACGAACCAGCCGTCCGTCGATAACCCAGATCTGCCATGGATCTTCATTTCTCCTCGGCCCAGCATGGACACGGCCAGACCAAAGTTTGGGCAACGTCCTGCTTCTGCTACCCGGTACCAATCCCTACGGGGTATCCAGATACAGAATATTTCGTATAGCACGGCTCATATTTCGTATGCATAGGCGGTGGTCATGTGGCTATGCCTTTGAAGATTTGTCGAGGCCTTTTGGTGACGTTTGCTTCATTCAAAAAAAAAAAAAAAAAAAAAAAAAAGAAAACCGTCACCGCCATTTCATATGGTTGTGAAGCTGCTCTTTCGTCCCATGCACGTCACAATCATAACAGGTGTATGAAGTCGCACGTCGGAGCGGCTGACAAGACACGCGGGCGTGTGACGCACATTAAAAAATGCCCGTTTGTTCATCTCGTTTGTTCGATTCATGCATCGTGCGTCAAATGGGTAAAAAGTGGCTCTCACCGCCTCCATGGTAAGATACCAGCGATGGGCCCTTCATGCAGCCCAGACAAAGACAATGCAGACTTGCCGTGCCTTTCTTGTCGTCCTCTCTTCTTCTCGCAACTTATGCACCTCTCGCACCGCTTTGCATCGCTTTGCATCGCTTCCCTTGCATGCTGGTGAGACACGCAGGCTTCCAGAAAACATCGACCAGTGCATACGGTGTGCGTGCCATGGCCTCTCACCGTTCTTTCATGGGACTGTCCATTTGTCCATTTGTCGCTGTGTTCTTTTGGCAAGTTCTCCGTATATATCACAGCTTAGGCACACATGAAATAGGGTCTTTGTACTTTGTACCTTCAATGCCCAAACGTGGTGCTGAAAACGATGGCTCCAGGGAAGTCACGCCGTCTTTGACTCCGTTTTTCATCCCAATTCGTCGTAGGGCTGTTTGCATGCGTCGGGATAGGGAGGCTGAGGAGGGCGTAATACTTTGTATCTTTCAAGATTCCAAGAGGCTGGCCCTTGTCTCGCATGCCAAGGATGCTGGAGGCCACATGTAGTCCACTTGCCACTTGGTCGACCACAGGGGCCGTTTTAAAAAGTGGCCGAGCGGCGAAGGATAAAAACGAAGCGAAGAAGAAGGAGCGGAAACGCGAGAGGCCGTGGGAGACCGTCAGGTAAAAAAAGCGTGCTCTACCCCTCCCCAACATCCCGGCGGCCACCCACCCAACGCTCGTTAGGGTAGCTTTGCGCGCACCAGGAGCGTGGATTTGGGAGTCCAAAATATGACACGTCTGTTTTCGTGTCCCTTCTGGAACGGACTTGATCTCTCCTGCCTTCTTCCCACATTCCAAGTCCATTCCTGTAGTTTCTTCCATTGTCTCGCCTCGTTTTCCCACTTCAAATCCGGAGCATGAAAAGCAGGCTCGGCAGGTACCTACTCGCGTACTATGCAAAGCGTTCCAAAAGGGATACAACACTAAAGCCTTGTCCTGTCTCGCCGCCGTGCGTTGTAGGTCGTAATTACTTTAGAGGCACAGATCAGAGGCACAGTGACCTACCCCTGCCAGTCGGTTCTCATCTCCTTCCAACCTATGCTTTATTGTCACTGGCCACCGAGTGGCAGATCACCGCAGTTTGAGGTCAAGATACGGGGTCTTTGTAGAAAGGTACATGTTACCAGTGAGGGTCATGATGCCCAAGATACACGACAAAGTGTCTATTTTCTTCAAATTCCGCAGTTCCATCGGATACGAGCAGGTGCACGCTGTAATATGTAAAGCTGCGTAGAAACCCAGGACGTGCGGCAGGCAATGTCCGGAACGCCCTTGCACCAAGAATTGTCCAAAGACTCCAATAAGGAAGCAGACACGTGTGATTGCCACCCGATCTTAGAAACTGGCGCAGACGCCTGTCTCTGCCCTTGTATGTCGTGCCTTGAAAGCGGCATGGCCGGTGTATGTTTCTTCGTCTGCGCATGCTTTTGTGCGTAAACTACAGTGGCAGGAGTGTACGACTTATACCGCAGTCCAACGAACGTCTTGTGGGCCAGGCAAAGGTAAGACCATCCTTTTTGAGAACGGAGTACGGGGTAATACGGGCACAAAGCAGAATCGTGGCCAAGGGGGGACAGGTGCAAGGCAAGTCGATCTTGAAGGAATGAGAAGCGGAGTACGATTTATGGAGGAAGCAAAACGCAGACCGGAGTAATTACGGCGGTATGTGTACGATGTCGGAGTAGCCTGGAACTGGAATCGTGTGTGCACCCGTACCCATGTCAACTCTTGCAGGGATTCAAAACAGGTTGGGACAAAAAGACACCAAAAATGAGTCTCACCGCTCACCGAGGGTCACAGGCCAACCAGTGCGAGGTGTCTCGAGGTCAGAGACCGATGGTCGACGACTACTGGACAGGGTTTCTCGGTCTGAGTCGGCCCCTCGGGCGAGAAAAGAGAAGAGGGCGAAGGGGGAGGGGGGTGGAGGAACGCACGCAGCCTCTGAGGCGAGACCTTTGCTTGGACGGTGAGGCGAGGTCAAGGATGAAACTGTCGTGCGTGTGTTTGTGCGTCGGATCCCACTCGCAAGTACGAACTATTCCGTGGTGAGTTTTTATGGTGACTGACGGTAGATGTGGGAAAACGTAGAGAACACGGACATACAAAGTACTCCTTACATGATGTACACATTGCTCCTTGGCACAAACACATTACCTCGTGTACATCGACGCGCCGCGTCTTACTTTTGGTTCATGTTGAATCTTGTTTAATGGCCTGCCAACGGCTGCCAGGCTTTGTCGGAAAGATTTAGCATCCAGCCTTTGTCTAGCATCGATGATACCAGGGATCGAGGGTCTTGCCAAGTCAAGCCCGAGCCAAACCTTAGTAGCTGCTTGTCCCGGTGAATATTATCCCGATGGATATCGGGGGTTGTGAAAGGCAGATTGGCGAGTTTGGAAAACGAGATGGAAGCAGGGGAGAACATGACAATTATTTGATACAGTCCTAGTTGCTGGCTGCCTCTGGGACGACAACACATCATTGGTTGATCGTGCGCCTCCAGCATATGTATGTCGCAGCTAGTCTTTCGTGCGGAGGAGGCTCGTTGCAATGACAGCTGAAAACAACACGACGCTTTGGCTTCTGTGCGTCCGGTGCATCTGCATCAAGAGTACCGGTATTCTGGAAGCGAGAGGGACGACAGGAGAAAAGGTAGAAAAAGAAAAAAGGGACTTGCAAAGAGAGCTAAAAAGGGCCTTGTTGCAGTAGCGGACAACCGCATGGCGAATCAGCATCTGGTCCGAGGGACCAACTCCCCCTTGGAGGCAATTCCTCTGCTTTCAACTCCACAGCCCCCCGTCAGAATAGTCAACCTGCGAGAAGAGGCTCGAAAACTTGCATCGTCGCAAGCCGGCGCCGGCGCGGGCCAGCCCATTAGAGTGTTCATAGCCAAATCAGGGGTCAAAGGCATTCCAGACGATGTTTGTACACGCAGAGTACAGAGTAGAAGTTGAAAATACGTAGAGAGGAGCCAGAGAAGAGCACTCTACGTACCACCATTCACCTCCCGAGTCTATTCACACAGCAACGCAGATGCAGACCCTGTCGTGCATATGGAAAAAGTCACTCCGACGATGGCTCGCCTGCAAGTTTCAGCTGGTGTCCTCGCTTAGGAGGACGCTGTCGTTCTTACTATTCCTCTTTTCCTCTTTTCCTCTTTCTTCATTTCTCTCAACTCAATCTTCCCGCCTGCCCGGACCCAGTCACAGTTGCAATCGATGTTGCCGCCCGCTCCCTTGGGCCCGACGGCCCCAAAATCCCTCCCTCTGCGAAAGCCAACGTAGCTGCAGGAACAGGGATCGATCTTGGCAAAAGAAAGAGGCGAGGGACGGTGGAGACGGCGAAAACGACGAAACAAAACAAGCGGCACGAATCAGTGGTTGCCAATCGTTTGTCCCGTCCCATGTCGATGCACGATACATGATGCGATTCGATGAGATGAGATGACCACGCTGCATGCCATGCAGTGGCAATTGTGGCAAACTGGCAAATGCAGCCTCGGCTGTCTCACATTGCGACTGTTCTGTACGATTTACATGCATCGTACATACATCGTATTATATACACCGCACTCCGGTACAACATCGATTGACGGACCCGCATGCTTGATGGGGCCGTTGACGTACACTGTATGAAACGATTCTGGCACTTGACGTATCAAACGCCGAGTCTCCCTGTCCGCTGGCGTTCACCTCGTTTAGTCTCGACGCCTCCAGCTCCATTGGTCCTTTCGCCCTTTCGTCCTTTTGTTCTTCCATATGTCAATTGTGTCTAGCTATTCCCTGACCTCGGTCAACCCCTTGATATCCCTGTCCACCAAAAAACTTGCCATAGAGTGGCAATACACATGTCCAATGCCATCACTCACAGCCAATAATGTCTGTCGACTTACAGCATCGACCTATTTAGGAAAGTTGGCCGAGCGTGCGAGCGGAAACGGGATATTAAAATACAAATAAATACAAACAAAAAAAAGACGACGGGGAAAGGGAGAATGCTCAACGGAAAAGCAGCAAAACGAGTCAACGGAAGCTGAAAACCAGTCTTTCAAAACATCCCATCACTCAACCCTCCAGTCGATCTCGAGAACGGAGACCCAACCCCATCGCCATCCTTACAGAGTAAAGCCTCACATGTCAATCATGTCATATCAATCCGATATCCTCACGCCCCGTCTCCTCATGCGAGTGTTGCAAGTTGCCACCTGGGACGATGCACATGTCCATGTCTGAGAAAAACAATGCCATGTGCATTTTGACAGGCGGTACATTTCCGCTCTTTGTGTAACGATACGTCAAGCAGCCATAACTCCATTTACCCCGTACTCTGAAATTGGATTGTCGTAGAACACCAGCAATATTGCGGGGAGTGACGGACGAGCCGCCTCACTTTTAATATCCCCGTTGTGGCGCCTTTCACCTGTGTACGACATAAAGTAGAAGGTAAGAAAGGAAAAGTACACAATAGAAAAAGAAAGCAAAACAAATGAACAGAGCGAACAGACGACGGAGCTGAAAGCCACAAACATGCCTTCTCCGCGGACCCTTGCTTTCTCCTCCCCTCTTTCTGCCATGCTTTGATAACGTCCGTGTACATCGTTACAACGAAACAACAATGACCAGATGGCAAGGTGAAAGGAGAGGACGTTGGCGGTTGAACCAGACGCGACAATCCTCTGGTTCTGGTGCGCATGTTTTTTGTTCTCAACCTAGGAAGGCAACGCAGATGAGTGGCGGTACCACGCCTCGTACCGCGTCTCTGTGCCCGAGCTTGGACTGCCTTCCTACGAAGTTCTTTCCACAACGGGTCGCTGGACGAATCAATGGCGTCCCAGAAACGGCGTTTGGACCAGGATTGTTCGCAATCCCTGGCAGTGCCAGCAACGAGTGGGTGTCGTATTATGTCCAGACTGGAAGCATGGAAGTTGTCCTGGGATTGGGAGGTGGCCATGCAGTCGAGGCGGTTTCGTATTTTTCCGAGCGCTTGGGCGCTGGGACAGCCAAGAAACACGCGGACGTTTTTCGTTTCTGCTTTCAGACTTGGAAAGGGAACGCTATTGGAGGCTGCGGAGGGAGAAAGACGGACTACACAGTATTGTCGGACACCTTGCCAGGTGGCCAGGGGTGGAGAGAGGGTCGGGTGACCCGTCCGATGCTCAGCAACTCGTTCGCGCTGCGCGAAATGAGGACGAAGAGAGACAAAAGGACCACGGAACATGTCCGTTCACAGACGGTTGGGCCTCTTGATTCTGAAAAGGGCGATGCAATTACGACATACGGCATACAGTGACACCAGCTCCCAGGTCCAGACAGCAAGGGTACAATGGATCCAAGCGTCCAGCAGGGTCGTCGGTGGAAATGGCAACGCCCGAGCGAGACGAGACGGTTGGGAAACGGCAAGGGTTACGCGAGGAGCAGGCGTCGTCGAGAACAAATAGGACGCCGAGGATGAACGCCTCAATGCCTCGACGTACAGACAGGCGGGGCCATGGTTCGATGATTTCCAGAGACCAAGGCGATCAGCGACGCGCACACGACCAGAACAGAAGACCAGCAGACCAGCAGACCAGCAGACTAGCAGACTAGCAGATCGCCAGACGGCGCATAGGTGCTACTGCCTGCCTCTCTTGCTACGCACTGTGCCCTGAATTGTCCGTTGTAGAGACTCCGTAGTCTTACCTTCGTGGCACGCTCCATGGTCCCTGTTTTTTCGAATGTGTATTCCATGGTCCACCGTCAGCGTCAACCGTCTTCGTTGGTCGTCTGATATAACTAGTAGGAACAGCTATTACATAGTAATACAGGTCACATGTACGGACGACTCCGTACAGAGCACTGCCGTACGATGCAAGTTACATCATACAGCACTGTCGTGGATGCTGCGTCTCCGTTACACCCCTCCCTTGTCTCTCCGCGCTCACCGAATCCTGCCTGACCTTGCCTCTGTCAATGAGATCGCCGTATCCGAGCCAACTCAATATTTCTTGACTGAGACCTGCAGCAGCGTCTACGATGCAGGTTACTACACAGATATACGCCCCGTCTTCTGACACGCAGTGGCTGGCAGTTTCAAGGTTCTCACCGTTTTGTTGACTCGCTCTCCAGCCTCAGCTTGCCTCAGCTTGCCTTCTCTTCGTAGCTCTCTTCCTTCGTGTCCGTTTCTGTACCGACTCTTCCACCCTACGCACCTCGTACTCGCCATCCGCCTCCCCGTCGGCGGCCGCCTCCGTCAGCACCATCGCGCCATCGCGGCCCAGCACCGCCCGCCCCGCTTCCTCCAACAGGATCCCAAACGCCAGCAGCGCTGTCTCGTCCATGCTGCGTTCATCAATCAGCCGGCGGTTCACGGGTGCGCCGCCCACACTCCTTGCGGCGGCCTCCTCGTTCGGGTCTCGCCGTTGTACGGTATCGGTTCGTCCCCGCCCCTCCGGCGCAAGAACCTCGTAGTAGTGGCTCGCGTAGTGGTGCACTGCTTTGACCAGCTCGCTCGCCGGCAGCGCGTGCGCCGGCAGGCCCGCGTGCGCAAAGTACGTGTCCGTCTCTTCGTAGCGCGGTGGCGCCCCCGCGCTGCGGAACAGCGCCTCTTCGGGCGCGAGCTGGGCGTGCCGGAACCGCGTGGGCTGGCCGGGCCACTTGGGCGGTCGGGGTTCGCGCACGCGCGTGCGCCCTACGGGTGTTAGCAGGAACACAATATTCCATTCGAGTGGCACCGTTTGTTGTTTTGTTGTTTGTTTCGTCTTTTTTTCAACAGCGCATACCTGCTACAGCGTCAAAGACGCCTTTGCGTCGGTGGCTGTACCGACGGCCAGTGCGCGTCCGGCCGGAACGACCACCCTCGGCGCCGCTCTCGGACAGCGCGTCGCTGTGAACACTGCGACTTCGGCCGCGGTTGCGGTTGGATGCCGGCCCTGAGGCGTCTTGCATTTCCGTGTCAATGCCGGCCATGGCTATCGTGAATAGAGTTTCGCGAGACTGTAAAATGCGGAATTGCCTTTTCGCCCGCTCGCCTCCTCCTATCTCGGGCACAGTGCGTCGGCAAAGGATCGTGGCGGGCGGTAGAACGGAGGCATCGCGTGTTGCGAGAATTGGCTGTGGTGAAGAAGAGAAGAAGAGAAAAAGACGTGAAATACTCTGGTGCTTGAGAGGATTGGTGAAGGTAGTGCAGTTCGCACCTTCCAGTTTTGCTGGTAAAATAAAAGTGGGTCATTGCATCCACTGTATTGAGACCTGCGCTCACGTGTGCACGACTCCACTGATGCACTGAACGCAGCCTCGCCATCGCAACTACGACGACCACACATTCACAGAGCACAATCCAATCTGCACAGCACGCTGCATCGCCATAACTCCCCCCCCTTCCCCCACTCTGACACCCTCAGATGCATGAATGAACTCGTGAATGCGCGGGCGGCGGGCCGCCTCGGCCAGAACGCCTTTGCACGTCGTGTCTGCGCCGACCTTCTTCACACCTTCCGGCCAGCGCCGCGACTGCGGTTCGACGGCGGCGAGCTGGGCACCAACATTGATGTGGACGAGACGGGCGGCCCGTCTCGCGATGGCCGTGGCGGTCGTGATATGTGGGCGCACCAGGCGGGCGTCAACGCTCTAGCCCTCGAGCGGTTTGACGGGCGTATGTGAGTTGACATCTCCCCCCCCCTCCCCCCATATTGTGGCTGGCGTCTGACATCCGCAGCATGGTCTCTGGTGGCTCCGACGCTACGATCCGCATCTGGGACCTGGAGCAGGCCGACTTGGCCGACCCGTCGAGCCACACGTTCCGCCCCGTGGCCGAAATAGCGCGCGCAGGCGCCGTCGGCAGCCCCAACACGCGCGGCCCTTTCCGTGCACAACAGCAACAGCAGCAGCAGGCGACCCATCTCCAGAGCAGCCACACGCCCGCCCCCACGAGCCAGGGCCACCGCTTTGGCGTGACGCACCTCTCCTTTTATCCGTTTGACAACGCCGCGTTCTTGTCGTCGTCCTTTGACCAGACGCTCAAACTGTGGGCCACTGACAGTGCGCGCCTCTCGGGCTCCTTTGGCCTTGGCTCCAAGGTCTACAGCCACGCCGTCTCGCCCGTCGCCGACCACCTGCTTGTCGCCTGCGCCACGCAGCATCCGGCCGTGCGCCTGGTCGACTTGCGGTCCGGCGCGGCCGTGCAGTCCCTCGTGGCCGCCGGCCAGGTCGCCGGCGCCGTCTTGTCGGTCGCCTGGTCGCCACGCCACGAGCACGTTCTGGCCAGCGGCGCCGTGGACGGCACGGTGCGCATCTGGGACGTGCGGCGGGCGAGCGGGCTGCTGGCGCTGCTGGACCAGGAAGACTCGCTTGGTCCGGCCGGTTCGTCGTCCGGTTCGTCTGGATCGACTTCGGCGGCTGCTGCCCGCCCGCCCCGCGCGTCGGCCAAGGCCCATGCCGGCCCCGTCAACGGCCTCGCCTGGACCGACGACGGCGCCTTTCTCGTGTCGGCCGGGCACGACCGCCGCATCCGCGTGTGGGACATGGCCACGGGCGCCAACACGCTCGTGAGCTTCGGGCCGTCCGTGCGCAACAGCGGTCTCAGCAGCGTGCCCATGGTCGTCACCCCGAGCGGCCTCACCGCGCCGCGCCAGGAACTGCTCGTGTGGCCCAACGAGTCCGAGGTCCTGGTGTTCCGCCTGCACGACGGCAGCATTGTCACGCGTCTCCGCGGCACGGGCGCCACGCAGGCCGCTGTGCGTCTGCCCCAGGCGCCGCCGCCGCCGCCGCGGGCACCTCAATCCTTGCCACCGTCCTCATCTGCGTCGTCCTCGTCCTCGTCCGCCCGCCCCCGACCGTCGGTGGCGCCGACAACGGTCGACCGCTCGTCGGCACGGCGCAACCGCGTGACGTCGCTGGTCTGGCGTGGCGCTGGCGGTCTTGGCAGCGAAACGGGCGGCACGGCCATGGGCGGCCGGGACGCCGTGGGCGGACTCTACAGTGGCCACTTGGATGGCCAGATCCGGGCGTGGGCGCCCTCGGCATCCACGGCCATGGACAACGAAGACGTTGTCGAGGACGACGCCGACGCGACGCCACAGGCCTTGGAGGAGCGCGACCGCAAGCGGCGCGCACTGGACCAGGCGTACCGCAGCCTGATGGGCACGCAGATTACGTTTCGGTAGGAGTGTGTTTTAGCAGGCCCTTCTCTCCAAGCAAGGTCAACATGCACCAGTACAGAGCGCTGGAATTGGGCGCTGTCCTGTTGCACGCAGCATGCGTGTTTGTCACCGTTTCGCTCACCTTCACCCTGCTCACCATGGCCAGGTAGTCCACACCGTCCCGTTTATGCCGGACACGGTTGGCCAGCATCGGTCGCACGTGGATGTTGCATATCCATAAAATAAGTTGAATACGACGTACATCTAGCCAACAGGCAGAAGACTGATAGCCGCCGGCCCCTTGCTCGTTTGGAGGATGTGACAGCATACCGGAGAGCGGAGAGTTGCCTTTCTTGGCAGCACCATGCCTCTCCGTAATTTACCTTGGGCGGTCGTGGGGGTCATGCTGTTGGTATGTTGGTGGGTGAGACGTTACCTAGACGAGATGAGCTTCGGTCATCATACATATCACAGTAGCAACCACAGGAAACGTATATCCGGACGTGTTGTACGACATGGTAGTTTTGAGTTGTCCCGAATGCCATTTCACAAAACGAACACCTCCTGTGATCTCCGTATTGACAACGGGCGTCTGGAGACCGTTTGGCCGTCGTCCGTTCGTGGTTGGATTTTCTTTTGCTTGCAGCGCTAGTGCGTACGCCAACTGTTATCTACGCAGCTAACGGGGCGGATCTCCAGCGAACCATCCATCCGATATGGTGTAATGGTCAACATCCGACGCTCTCACCGTCGAGCTCGGGGTTCGATTCCCCGTATCGGAGCACAAGTGAAGTCCTATTTTTTGCCAGTTTTGGAGAGGCCATCACGAGTCATCGTTTACTTTTTCGGTTGCTCTTCGAGCCAGCACCTCGCCTCGTACGGGCTCCAGCTCCGCAGCGACGCTTGAGCTTATGTCCCTCTATTGTCCCAGCTTCAATCCTTGTCTTTCGTAACGGACTTGCAGATTGCGAGTATGATATCTCTTGACAGTCAACCAGCATTCGTTCCTAGCTACTATTGAGGAAGTATACAGGATATCCTCGACTTGTCAATGCCTGCGAGTATATACAGAAGAATAGTTACTATGCTTCAGGTTTGCAGCGCTCGTTTTGTTGTGGCTGTGTATTTATTTTTATTTATTTTTGTTACATATATTTTAAACAATGTCTTATTTTTTTTCACTCAATATGGTTTTATAATTTTCGCCGACAAAATTAATAAAATTCCTATACACACCACGAACTCACGAAGACCGCTCTGCCCCAAAATCGACGAATACTACAAGAAGAAATAAGAGAAGAAAACACCATTTAAACAAAGAAAATGCGTTTCTTTGCCCAGGCACTGTATTCGCTCAGGCTGCGTTGTACGTGTCAGGACTTTAAGGTCCTTTTTGCTGTGCGACAGGTGCGACCGACCGCAAGTGGGGCTACCCGCGCCTCCCATTGTCGCTATGGATCCCTGTCCTACCACAGCATTAGCTTTCCTCAGTTGATTCGCAACACTTCACAACTCAACAAACACGACAGCTGTCGACAACCATCCAGCGGCGCGTGTCGACCCGAGTGCATCCCTCGCACCTTTCCACATCTTTCACATCGCGGTACGGCACACACGACATTGTTCGATATACTAATTGACTGCTCCTGGCTGGTCTTTGTGACGCCGCCGCGCTTGCGCCGCAACTGCGAAAGGCCTCGATCACGGCCTTCAGCAACCCACAGTTGGCTATGACCAGTGTGCCGACGTGCGCGGTGCCCGACGCTTAACAGCCAGTCGGCCTGCGATACGACAAACGTCGGCACCTGCTGCTCTTCTCTCTGCATTGAGGCGTCTTGCTGGACTTTTTCTGGATACTGCGCTCCAACACGATACCCTCTCTCGCGAAATTCTCTGATTCGACTCTCTTTCCATCGCGAATTCGACGTCTCCCACTCCCGCCTGTGACAGTTGTACGACGCTGTCGTTGTCGATCGCCTCTATTAGATAATTCTTCTCGAAATATCCTCTCCGCCCCCCGTCACACCACAATGGCAACCCCGACGGCCATGAAGCTGGCGCCCTCGCAACAGGGCCGGACCCCTGCGGCAGCCACGCCTCCCGTCTCGACTCCCTTTAGCTCACAACACCAGCACACGGCGTTCTCGCCTCTCGGGCCCCGGTCATCACCACAGAACGTGAAGAAGTCGCCCGCAAACTCGGCCACGCTCATGGGCCTCAGTGCCAGTAGTAGCGGCATCCCAGGAGGCAGCGCCGGTCCCGGCAGCAACGCTGCCGTGAACTACGACAGCCCTGCCGCCGCCGCCATGGGCACCCTAGGCGTGGACCTCGGCGGGCTGGACAATGTCAGCGTCGTCGGCGGACTGGCCCACCTGGGCAGCGTGCTCGGCCGCAGCGACGACGACGACCGCGCGCGGCGACTGCAGACGGTTCTGCAGCTGCTTCAGGCGAGCAAGGGCCACGTCAGCGAGGCCGGTCTCGAGCGTCTGGCCAAGTCCATGGGGCTCGAGTGCCTGTGGGAGGAGGCCATGGGGGGCGGCGGCGGCGGTGGCAACGACGCCCGCACGCTGGTTGTGGCCGGTTCGGCGCTGGCCCTCGAGATTGCCGTGGCCAACAACATTGTCGAGTCGGTGTCCGTGACCTTCCCCGAGTCGCGCAGCATCGTGCTGCGGCACGTCGAGCGCGCCGACAAGATCTTGCTGCACAACCTGCAGCTGCAGCCCGGCGAGAGCCCGCTCACCAAAACGCTGGACCGCTTTGCCGCGAACCTGGAGACGCTGGCTGTGCTGGACAAGCTGAGCGTCGAGCCGGGGCTGAACCTGTACGAGG